TCCGAGCCGCCTTGGTGGCCAGCTGCTTGCGCGGCGCCTTGCCGCCGGTGGACTTCCGCGCAGTTTGTTTAGTTCGAGCCATCGTAAAAAAACAAACAAAAAAACCAAGCTGGCAAATAGATAGGAAGAGGTCCCCTTTATATATACTCAGAAACGTTCCGATTGGCCTTCCGCTATTTCAAAAGCCCCGCGAAACAAAACCATTGGCTGAAGAGTCAACGCAGTGATTGGTGAAGTACTAGAGACTCTGATTGGATGAAATACTCCACATTTCAATTCCTATTTTTGTTATACTCTGCGACCCAAAGGAACTAATTTTCTAATGTTCTCGTTCAGCGCATCTCACATTATAAATAAGGAACCACTTGGGGATCGTGGACGATGCCAATTCTGATTCAAATCTGTGTAATGGGGCCTAGAATTCCGAGGACTACGCTTTAAGAACAGATTTACTTGTGTTCTTTTTTCTCCGTGGTTACTTTTTCTGAACTGAACTTAGATTCCCCTGGGCTGCCACTTCCTATGTCCACTGGGAAACCAAGGAGAAAGCGACGGGCCGGGGACGACCGGCAAACAGTGCGCAACAAATGATTGACGTTCCTATGGTGGCCAAATGGGATTTTGCTTCAGTTTGTTCCAGCAGAAATTAGTTAAGATAGCCGCCATCATGTTTAACTCTTCTTTTAGCCCAGTCAGCCAGTCTCTCAGAGATCTTTCTTGCTTGCTTAATTTCACTTTGAAGATTTTCTAGTTAGAATTGTACTATGCACCTGGTGTTTATTTCTCCGAGAAAACATTCCCTTCCTCTGTGAACATTTTTCATTCCAGAAAGGAGATCACGGTGCAATAACCTCAAGCACCACCAGAGCCAGTCCCAGGACCGCCGGACGCCATCTTTGATTTTGAAATTTTCCTGAAGTAAAAAAGAACGCAAATTTGCATTCTTATCTGCGGCCCTATTTTCCACTCCTAGACTGTATAAAATTCCTTCCTACTCTCTCAAGGGAGGGGACAGTCTTGAGGGCACTAGTTTGTTGTGGTCTCCTTTGCCTGGCAAAGCAATGAAAGCTACTCTTTTCTACTTCACCCAAAACTATGTCGCCGCTTACTATTCGGCACGGGTGAACAGAGGCCGAGTTTCGGCAACAAGTTCAGAACTTGAAAAGCCCGCGCTGATCTGATTTGCCAGCCGTTCTTTCGTTTGGCTGTTTCAAACGTCTTGGTGACATTCTAAGCTACCACCCCCAACCTGCCTTCTCCGCAGGATAGAATGTTTCCCTTCTCGCTAAATAACCGAACTACCCCAGGTTTTAAAAACATTACCAAAACTTGCTTCTTCACCACTACTAAAAGCCCTTGCTTACGGTACTAACCATTTTTTTGTAAAAGTTGTTTCCCCGAGTCACATTTCAATCAGTCCCGTTAGATAGCGAATTGCGGTAATAAACTGTGGCGATTATCCAATGGCTTTAACCGCGCGTAACCTTCATAGACCCAGCCCAGGTTTAGTTACAAGCTTTTTTAAGTGTGAAAATGTGGACGGCTCTGAAAAGAGCCTTTGGGTAAAAAGTTATAGACACGCACTGATACTGGAATTGGTTCACTTGCCCTTGGTCTTGTGGTGGCTCTCGGTCTTCTTGGGCAGCAGTACAGCCTGGATGTTGGGCAGGACGCCGCCCTGAGCGATAGTGACTTTGCCCAGCAGCTTGTTGAGCTCCTCGTCGTTGCGGATGGCCAACTGCAGGTGACGCGGGATGATACGCGTCTTCTTATTGTCGCGGGCCGCGTTGCCCGCCAGCTCCAGGATTTCGGCCGTCAGGTACTCCAGCACTGCCGCCAGGTAAACCGGAGCGCCGGCCCCGACCCGCTCGGCGTAGTTGCCCTTGCGGAGCAGGCGGTGCACACGACCCACGGGGAACTGGAGCCCGGCCCGCGAGGAGCGGGTCTTCGCCTTGGCACGTACCTTACCACCCTGTTTCCCCCGGCCAGACATGACGAAACGCTAAGATGAAAACAAAAACCAAAGAAAATGACCTTCAGAACACAAGCAACTAGACTATTATACTCTGCGGCGGTTTGGTAAAACAGCTTGTGCGATTGGCCGAACACAACCCTTAGCCAATCAAAAGCTAGTTCTAAAACAACGTTACTAATTTACATAGAGAGTTTGTAATTGAAAGGTCAAATTAAGTAAGGTTGAGCTAAGGGAAGAGCCAATGAGACTTTGTAATAAAGAGCCTATCAGAGAGTAGGATGCTGAAAAGACCAATCACAAATCGTAATTCTGCCATCTCTAATTTGCATACAGACCAAACAAATACTGAGGCCGGTTGCTCGTTGGGCGTATTTGTTTCTCGTTCGCTACCTGGTGGCTTTTTGATTTTGCCATGCCTGAGCCAGCTAAGTCTGCTTCTGCTCCGAAGAAGGGCTCCAAAAAGGCGGTGGCCAAGGCCCAGAAAAAGGACGGTAAGAAGCGCAAGCGCAGTCGCAAGGAGAGCTACTCCGTGTACGTGTACAAGGTGTTGAAGCAGGTTCACCCGGATACTGGTATTTCTTCCAAGGCCATGGGTATCATGAATTCATTTGTCAACGACATCTTCGAGCGCATCGCGGGCGAGGCGTCACGTCTGGCGCATTACAACAAACGCTCGACCATCACGTCCAGGGAGATCCAGACAGCCGTGCGCCTGTTGTTGCCTGGGGAGTTGGCCAAGCATGCCGTGTCCGAGGGCACCAAGGCTGTTACGAAGTACACCAGCTCCAAATAAGCTCGCTCCTTCTCCAATAACCCAAGGCTCTTTTAAGAGCCACTCACATTGTCTCTTAAGGGTCTGTAACTCCAGACTTCAAAATTACATTTATGTATGACCTAGGAAAGAGGAAAAGCTCTGAAAGCTTCGGAAAATTACTCTTGTAAGAGACGTTTACATTTATAAGAGAAATACCCCTTTTGTATGGGTGTCTCTTACTCTACCAGGAAGAGGAGGATGGCCGAATCTGTTACCTATGCAAAAGCCCACAACTTGCATCTGTATGACAACGTTACCCGTGTTTCCTGTGCTTTCCCTGGTTGCCTCCCACAACAGACTACCCATCCCCATCGTTTTTAGTTTTTAGCTGAAGATGGTATTTAAGGTGGTAGCCCCAGCCATTTTGTAGATTTTGTCTTACTGGGGTCTCCAATGTATACAGGAGATACACGTTGTTACGTTTTGTTTTTCTCCTGTCAATCTGTCTTCTATCAATTATTAGGCCAGCCAAAGAATCTAGAAGGGAAGAAGGAAAAAAAATTTCTTCCCTACATCTACACAGTGATTTTTGTGAACATGGAATGTTACTATATTTCAAATGGTGCTTGTGAAGAAAATTCCCTAAACTCCACATATAATTAAGGCATTCATTTCTTGCTTTCCGAAGTTAATTTTAAATGCAGTTTAAAATAATGTATTCTTGAAAACAAATACGTAAGTATATTTGAGAAATGGATAAGCATGGTTTAAGGGGAAATCCCCCAGCATATGATACAGTCCCGACTGCCTCTTTGAATGTTAAATTTGAGCATCTTACTTAAACCCTCTGTGAGCATTTCTTTCTAAAATGGGAATAATAATTAGCAACTACGGTGTGGCACTGCTGGGGTGATCAATAAAAGAGCACAAGTAAAGTACTCAGGGTGGTGACTGCACAGAGAAGGTCTAAAGTATTAGCTGTTGGCTAAAGCCTCTGGTTGAAGTGCTGGGAAGCTGCTCTTAGTCCTGCCCACTTTGGAGTCTCAGAATCTTGAAGCCATAAACAAGGGAGTAGGCCGGAAAACCTACTAGCATTTAACACCAATTAGGATTCCTTGTCTGGCAGTGTGAACAATCCAAACCACTTCTAACAGTCCAAGCCCCTTTGAAACCAGTTCTTTCCCCTGAACTGTTCTGAGGACAACCTAGTGCCTGTGACTGTAAGTCTTCCCTGCCTTTGATGACCAATTCATGCAACATGTGCCTTACTTTCCAAGGACTTTCTCATGCCTCACTAGGTTTAGAGGTACCTCTTTTAAAAAGGTGTTGGGTTATAAGGAAGGCCATATAAGAACTACTCACCTCCCTCCACCCAACCACAATACTTCCTTTCTGCATCCTGGCTTTCCTTCTTGGTCTTCCTTCCATTTGGATCTTCACTTTCTCAATCTTTTTTGCCCTCAAGCATCACTTATGAGTAAAGCCTTCTATGACCATATCATTTAAAATGTCACCTCCTTCCTCCATACTTTAATGCTTTTCCCAGCTTCAGTGGTCCTCATAGCACCATCTTACATACTGTTTTACCTGTTTTGTTTGTGCCCCCTCCAACAAAATATAAGCTCCCTGAATATAGATATATTGTTTTGTTCACAGTTGTTCACTGCTATAATTCCATAGCATCAGACAGTGCCTGGTATATGCCATGTGCTCAATTTTGTTTGTTTATTAAATTAACATCGTCATGTGAATTTGTTTCCTCAAACCAGTGCCTTAGCTCAAATAACATCTGATCCTTTTCATATTTAAGCACCAGAGCCCGTATCTTTAAAACAGATGAGATTCCAAATGACTGCATTGATTTCTGGCTCGCAAAGTATCACCCTACAAATTACTTGCAGGCCACAAGGAGGAAAAACCTGCTTTTACAAAGAAACTAATCACCCTAAACCAGTAATTGATCTATCATATCGAATCTGGATAACGACATCAAGTGTCTCTGATGTACAGTAGTATTTACATACAATCATCTGTAACTGTTCCTTGACAAGAAAATTAACGTGATTTCAGTCAAGTCTAGGGAAAATCACTTGTAGGGCATTCAGGGTACAGAAGTCAAGGAAAATAACCCCATCAGGAAACAAGCCAAACCAAGACATCCTATAGGCCAGGTCTGCAGCAAATCAATATCAAAAAACTAAATGAGATCAAGGAGAAGAGGAGAAAACTTGTAGATTAAAAGACCTGAGACAAAAAAAAGAGAGAAACCTGAGACTGAAAAGGCGTGATTGGATCCTCCTAAACAAACCAGATCTCTAAGACATTTTGGGGCATAACTGGGATCTGTTACTGTGAACCCAGTATTAGATATTAAGGAATCTGGTTTTAGTTTGGCAGTGATTATATGGGAGCTTTTTAAAAAATAAAATAGTGCGTACTTAATTTGAGGTAAAATATGCTGATGCCTGTGTAGCATTTTTTTAAAATCATGTCTACTTAACTGTAAAGCTTAGGTGACATTTATGTTGTTAAGTAACATACTTCCTATCGGCTTTTTAAATTTTTAACAGAAAGTCAGAATACAGTGTTCTCTATGCCTAGAAACACGTGCTAGCTCTCCCCGCCTGTGCATTTTAATTTTACCCCCAAAGCACTGGTACAAGGGTTTTAAGTCTGCAGAGCCCAGCAGCAGGGCCACACTCCAGCAGAGCTCAGGAGCGCGCCCCCGCGCAGGAGACGACCCGCCCCACTCGTAAATTCGCCTTTGTTCCGGGCCCCGCTTTCCGCCACGGGCGCGGGCTTTCTTTGTTCCTCGTTCTCGCCGCCATTTTGAGCACGGACTACAGGCGGGGGAAGGGAGCCTCGCATTACTACACCGGGGCAGTGTATGCCGACTTCCCTCCAGTATTCAAGCACTAAGCATACACGATTTCAAACTTGAAATACACCAGAACTTAAATGGAATCTTTCTGGGGAAGACAGTGCTCTGCGAGTTTCTTCACTGCCCCACGAAACGTTAAAATGCTCAAACTTATACCCGAAACCACTTCCACAAAGCGGAAACATACACAAATCAGCCAACTTCTGCCCTCCTAAAACGTGAACTAGAAATTAGAAAGCACGAAAACGAAGCACACCTCATAAAAAGGAAAAACAACAGCAAAAAGTGCTAGCTCTTTCACCGAAACATTTGGGCGGCCCTGAAAAGGGCCTTTGGTAGTAAAAGATGTTAAATCGCTGAAAACGAGAGACCTAACCGCCGAAGCCGTAGAGGGTGCGTCCCTGGCGTTTGAGGGCGTACACTACGTCCATGGCGGTGACAGTCTTCCGCTTGGCGTGCTCCGTGTAAGTGACCGCGTCTCGGATCACATTCTCCAAAAACACCTTCAGTACCCCACGGGTCTCTTCATAAATCAGACCAGATATACGCTTGACCCCACCTCGCCGGGCCAGACGCCGGATGGCGGGCTTGGTAATACCCTGGATGTTGTCGCGCAAAACCTTGCGATGTCGCTTAGCACCCCCCTTCCCTAGTCCCTTACCACCTTTGCCTCGTCCAGACATGATAATACTGCTCTGACAATTTCCAAAACAGCAACAGAAAGCCCGAGGCAATTCCCTTATATAAGCGGGTTTCGGACCGAATTGAAAACTGAAACCGCGCTCGCCCTCACTTTCCTCTAGCCTGCCGGCCCCTCTCCTCACCGCCCAGTCTCGATGACGTCATGACGACTAAGTCCCCGCCCGCCGAATGTGCCCTTCACGAAGGAAGTCAGAATACAGTGTTACAGCCGGTCCTCCGGCCCTAAGTGGGACTTCTCGGACCTACTTAACAGCTGCGTCAGTCTAAAAATGTTAACATTTTTTTTTACTAATTATCTTTTGCTGTTTGGGATGCTTTAGAACGGTTGATCAGGAGCCTTCGCCCACACGACCGGAACTGCTGCAACCTTCGCTGAGAATGCGGAGCCCCGCTTTGCCCCCAAGTTTACGGTGCTTCCAGAATTACTCCTCCCTACAACAAAATCCCTTCAAACCGAAACCCCCGCTCCGAAGGACTTTAAAAACTGCAGGACTTCACCCTCTCCGTCACGAAGCCAAGGGAAATCTGACCAAAAGGATTTTCTTCCCAAAGGCGAATACATGGTTGGTTAGTGATTCTGTGGTAGAATTCTCGCCCGCCGCGCGGACGCCCGTGTTCCTTTCCCTCTTGTTTTCGTCTCCTCCCCTGTTTACTAAAACCTGTAATTCTCATTTAATTATCTAACCACCCCTCACCTCTGCGCCCAGTAACTTAACTCTGTTAATGTTTACTTTTCTACTCCTCGTCGTTTTCTCTGATTCTGGTAACGATATTATTCCAGAGACTTGGCAACTTGTAGCCAAGGAATTGAAATAAATAGGCGCTTTCTTCCATTCTTTATATTTAGAGGCGAAGTCGCCTCTGAGTAGACTTAAGAGTATTATTAGGAAAGGTTTTTAAGTAGAGAGCAGAGTGGCGCAGCGGAAGCGTGCTGGGCCCATAACCCAGAGGTCGATGGATCGAAACCATCCTCTGCTATTTTCCTTCTGTAGTTAAAATTGTGTAACCTTGTTTCACAGTAAGGAAAAAAAAATAAAATGGCGTCCCACCCTTTTTTTTGTTTGTTTTAATTCTGGAGCTAAAATGACTCCCTGAAAATAAACGTGAAGCCGTTTAAGTGATGTCTTCTGGTTGCCAAGGTAACCGTGCTATTTTATCACGACAGTTCTCGTTGCCCTATGAAGCTGCGAAAATGCTGAATTAAACTGAGGGCAGGGGTGGCAGCCAAGATCTTGAGTTACATTTCCTTCTATAACATAATTTGGAAAGCACTACTTTTAGGTAATTGTGGCCATGTGGTTAAGCTGATAGACTAGAAATCTCCTGGGCCATCCCGGTGCAGATTCTTTGCAACTAGTAGAGTTTTCATCTTTGAAGTAAATAAGTAGCAGTTTGGGACAGAGTGCAGAGTTTGGGAGGCCATGATTGTACTTTGACCTGAGAAAACCACTTCGGC